TTTATTTTAAAGATACATTATGTGAGATAAGATAAAGAGCTGACAGTTCCCACTATAATAGTTAAACACTAGATAATGTAAAGGGAATTTGCTGAAAATTTCATTCAAATTGATCCACTCTGAACCGAGAATTTAGAGATTGAATTTTCAGCCTAGCCTCAATCATCGTTACTAAAGTCGGTATGATAAAATACATAGTCTTGATTATCCATTTCTTGTTTAAATCATGAATGAGCGTAGAGCAGCAGATCGCATCCTAATATCGCAGTAAATATTGCAGGCTAGCGATGACATCGAGAGTTGATTATGGTCTGGATAAGTTAATTAATGTATAATTAATAATTTAGATACCATTTAGCTCTTGCATAATGTATGTTTAAACTTGAGGTTTTGCTAGTACAAATTTATGAAACCAATTTTAGAAAAGCCCTCATAATCCGTTTGGTAATTGAGATGCACTAATGAGCTTGCCCATTGACTTAGGCCTACTTTAAACTTTTGGTACAGATGTAAGTCAAATTTAGGAACATCTACACGTACATACATGTACAAATTGTTCGTTTGATAATGGAGATGCATGAATTAGCTCGGTCATTGACTGAGCTTACTTTAATGTTTTGGTTTTTGTTTCTACAAATTAATGTAAGCGAAATTTAGAAACTACATAACTCTGTTCCATAGGGAGATGTTTATATATAGGTCAGTGGTAGTAAATCCGACATGACATAACCAAGATAACTAAAACTCCTCTTCGTCTGCCTTAATGTTTGAGCAATGTTGTCTGCTAGTAGTAATCTCCTAGACAGAATAATCTTGAAAATTTACTTAGGAGAGAGAGAGAGAGAGAGATGGGGTTTAACATCCACTCCATATAAGCTTGTTCATTCCTTACTAACTATGGTCAATTTTATTTCAATAATTCACTTGGGGGTCTTGTCACGTACAAGCAGGGAATCGAAACAACACCAGTTGACTCAATAACAGACCTTATGATCTAATGCGCATGTGTTGAACCATTCGGCCACCCAACCCCTCACTTTGAATAAATAACATTTTAAAATGTGATGGAGAAAGAGAAATGTTAAACGGTCATGGATGCACATTAATTATTCGTAGAAATGCTAATACCTCCACTAAAAGTAGACAGAAGAGGTTGGATTCAAAATTCTCATTTGCATTTTTCAGACAATATCAGCTTAATCCACACTAATATGTACTCGAATTTTTAATATTTTGATATTAACATTTAACACTAGATAATCTCCCAGTCTGGATTCACTTGCATTAAAAAGAGGCTCATTATGTCGATAATATGCAATATGTTATCGTCTGCAAAGCATGTTGAATGATGACAAATTTACATTATGCAATATGTCGTCTGCCGGGCATGCCGAATGATGACAAATTTTCAAAACAACCCCCAACAATAAGAAAAAAGAATGTTTCTAGAAGATACTTGATTTAGCAGCCATTTTCTATTTTTCTACCAATTAGTAGGCAAGGCTACTTGTAATATAGCTCAATCTATTTGTTAAGGCCAGCTCAATTTTCATCAAGGTCGCTGATGTGTAAATAAGATTAGGGCATGTGATTGTTGGCGAGATTGTAGCTTAGAGTTAGAGTAAGCATTGGGGCTAGGTCCAGGTATAGGGTTAGGGTTGGGATTAGTGCTAGCCCTGTTTACATCTCGTGACCTTTGACCAAACTTGAAATTGGTCTTATCAAATAGATCTAACCATGTAATATGTTAAAGATACATTATGGGAGATAAGATAACGAGATGGCAGTTCTCGCTATAATAGTTAAAAACTAGATAGTGTAAAGGGAATTTGCTGAAAATTTCAGTCAAATTGATCCACTATGAGCCGAGAAAGAAGCGGGTGAAATTTTTGCAGTCTCGGTCATCATTACTAAAATCATTAATATAAACAGCATAGTCTCGATTATCCACTTTTTCTGATTTAATTATCAATAGCTGTTAGCGGCATATAGGAATCTAATCCAGCCAACATCGAAGGCTAGCCTTGACATCGAGAGTTTATTATGGTCTGGATAAGTTAATTAATGTCTAATTGATAATTTAGATAACATTTCAGGCCTAAAGAAAGACTTGTAATAAGCAGATTTTTCTCTTGCATAATGCATGTTTAAGTGTATAATTGTTTGGTTTTAGAAAAACAAGTTTTATCTGCTACCATTATATGGAGACCAATTTACTTAAAGATTAATATAAAATGTGGGCAGACTTCATCTGGCTTTCCCATTAAATAAACACCAGGGTATTTTATCTTGCCGATATTTAAACTATTACAATAATAGTGGCGTCTGTGTTCACTTCATTTAAGTGTAACCACACAGCTTTACCTATAACTTGACTAGTCACTTTTTAAATCAATTGGTAAAAAATATCAGTCGTCTACTCTTACAATGCTTATTTATTTACTTATATTATTACCATAGGTGCCATGGGGGCTCGGTGTAAAGGGTGAAGGCTCACTAATGAGTAGGGGGGCCACAGTGGCTAAGAGGCTAGAAGCTAGACGCTGGCTCGTTAGCCTGGAGGTTGCATGTTTGATCCCTGTATTGTCTGAGAAGGTTTATCAGAATTTTCCGATGTGGTTTGCCCTTGTCAGTGATGCAGGACAGAGGGCCAGACTAGGACAGCTGTCTAGTCTTCAGATGGGAAGAAAAATCAAGGTCCTGTGTATACATTGGCATGCACGTAAGAGACCCCTTGGCATTTGGAATTCTATATAAGCGTAGGCCATAGTGCCGCTGCCCAGGCAAAATTTCCCTCATAAAACGCTGCATGGCGTATGCCTGTGTTCTTTAGCCCAGTCAAAAGACGTTAGACCCCATTTTCAAACCCTCAGTAGTGCTGATGGGACGAAAAACTGATGTACAATCTTTGGTGTGCATACGCCATACAGTGTGCTATGAGGGAATTTTTGCCCGGGCAGCGGCACTACGGCCTACTCTTATATCGAATTCCAACTGCCAAGGGATCTTTTACGTGCATGCCAATGTGTACACGGGACCTCGGTTTTTCGTCCCATCCGAACAACTAGACAGCTTTCCTTGTCAGCCCCTGCATGTAAAAGAACAGAGACAGTTAACAGAATAGACTCAAACACCGCTGTCTTGGAAAATTTCTCTCATAGCAAACTGTATGGTGTATGCTCGTCTTGATTAGCCAGGTCGGAGCTGAACAGTAGGACATTCAACCCCTTTGCACTTCATTGCATTTATTTGTTTGAAACTCATGAAAATAAACAGTTACATGCAATCAAGTAGAGGGGCAGACGGCAGACGCATAAATACTAGGTCATGTTTGATTGATCCTAACTTACCTGCACACCTGTCTCAAGCCTAATACATGTACTAGTAAACATCAATAAAAAGACTGTGTAATACAAGTGGTAAGATGAACTCTTAATTCATACAAGATGGGTTTTTTTTTTACGTTTATATTGTGGAAACCTTAAAATTTTGAATATGTTATGCTAAGCTAAAGCTAGGGATCGTCATTCACATATTTTGCATCATATATATTTTTGCATCGCTTGATCCATTTGAGAAATGCGAAAATTCATAAGTTTCGATAAAAATGATTTGCGGTGTTCGGTGGCCGTATAGTTAAAGCGTATGTGTTGCATCAGTAGGTCTGTCATTGAATCAAGTGGCACTGTTTCGATTCCCTGCTTGTAGTATCAAGAAGTTGGGTTGCCTGTCCAAGTTCGTGCTTTTTTTTTCTGGGTCCTACAGTTTCCTCCCACTGCTAAACATCCCTATGCACAATAAAATTTAATCATATGTAAGTCCCAAAATTACCTAATTTGTGTCGAGTGGAGATAAACTCTCTCTCTCTCTCTCTCTCTCTATAGATTTAACTCCATTCAAAGACTGGATGTGGTTGGTTTTATAAATAACTAGTAGTTATTGATAGTAGTATAACTCCAAAACCGGATGTAGTAAGCCAACGCCTCCTAGCCCATGTTACTCCTGGGTCCGAGCTAAGCCTATACACCAAATTTCAGCTTCGGGACAGCCCTAGTGAAGCTGCTAACCCTGAACAGACAGACAGACAGACAAACAAACTACAGCCACATATATTAATATAGATAAAACTATTTTAACCATTTATGAATTGGAGTTTTTAGTTGGTGAATATTGAGTTATTTAGGTTTCAATCAGTTAGTAGAGGACCATGATATATATGTAGTATGTATTAATTCAATACAAATAATGGACATAGATCTGTGATAAAACAATATTGCTAGTTTAAAAACACCTTAATCCATTTGATTGTTTAATTAATATGTATAAACTCAATACAAATAATGGACGAAGATGTTTGTTACAGATTAATAACAGTAAATTAAAAACACTTATATGGATATACTACTTCTGTATTTATTAACATGCTACGTTTCGATACACATACAGATATCCATACACAATCAAATAATGATGTTTAACAAAATGTGGTGCAATATATAGATAACAATTGGAAACCATATAACGTTAATCTGTTTGATTATTTAGTTAAAGATACATTATGGTAGAGGGATAAAGAGCTGACAGTTCTCACTATAATAGTTAAAAACTAGATAATGTAAAGGGAATTGATGAAAATTTCAGTCAAATTGATCCACTCTGAACCGAGATTTTAGCAATTGAATTTTCGGCCTAGCCTCTATCATCATTACTAAAGTCGGTACAATAAAAACATATAGTCTTGATTATCCATTTCATGATTAAATTATGAATGGAAATCGAACAGCAAATCGGAAACTAATCCAATAAACATCGCAGGCTAGTGATGACATTCAGAGTTGATTATGGTCTGGATAAGTTAATTAATGTCTAATTAATAATTTAGGTAACATTTCAGGCCTAAAGAAAGACCTGCAATAGGCAGATTTAGCTCTTGCATAATGTATGTTTAACTTAATAAAATCTGTTTGATCATTTAGTTAATCTTTTGGTATTTATTTCAGAGTCCTGATAGTGATAGTGTTTTACAGAAGCGATTAAAGGGAGAGGTGTGTTTATCTCCGGGAGAAGTAACGGCCTGGCAGGATGCCACCGGTATGCGAACTGTCTCAGCCTTCCAACCCTGGGCTCCTAATGTTCTCAGTGCTATTAAAGATGGTAAACTTATGCCGGCTCCTGCTATTATGCGAGAAGGGTAAGAGTTAGTTTTTATATTATTAACGAATATGATCATACTATGGACCAAGCACTGACCATGTTGTTGGGTGAAATTCAAAAATCTGCTTGGCCAAATCAATGCAGAATCGTTCAAAGAAGAAGCGTGCCAATTTTCATGTTGATCGGATTTGAAGTGATGGGGCCTTAGGCTGTTTCCAAGAGCGTCACCCCCCCAAAAAAAGAAGAAAGTGATGTGGCAGTTAGCGGCACGCGACCAGTTCCTGGTCTCCCCCCAAAAATACACTTATTAATCACCAGTACATGTACATCCAGCGTTTGTCCAGAGGATCCCGGACCCTCGTGCAGTACATTTTTTTTTTTTACATTCATTGAAATAAAGTTAAATTAACAATTGTGTGAAGCATTGCGTTTATTTTGGCCTCACTTGACTCTAATCCTATAAATGTATTCATGTAAATGAGTAGAAATCTTGTCTCGCAGCTTCTAAAATTCCCTGGTAATCCCCCAAACCTCACACCAAACTTGACAGTCCCTCGGCCCCCTTATGGTACTCCCGAGTGTCGGACAAATGTAATATAATATAACAAAAGCATGATTTAAGCTAGCGGAAGCCAGCAAATTTAAGTTAACCAATACAGACAGACATTTAATTATTCACATTTATATCCTTCATGATAACAGGAATTATCTACGAAAAGTAAGCATGCTCTAACCTAAATCGACCAATTCAGACACCCATTTAGCCTACAGCCCAACAGGAATTATCCACTAAAAGTAAGGAAATGCACGTGCCCAAAGCTAGCTCAAACCGACAAATTTAAGACAAAGTATTCAAAGTACATGTACAAACTGAACAAATAAATTAATATTTTGATAACCTACATGTACATGGATATTTGCATTCTACATCCTTTTGTCATGTTACACTGTAACCCAGATATCATTTAATCTTGTGTATTTAGCACTAATTTCTTTCACATTGGTTTACCGGTAATATCAAATCTTTCTTTAATAATCATTTAAAACACCAAAAATCGTTTAAAATCATCAAAAATCATCTAATTTGTACTTGTGTCCAGTTTAAAGCTGACTGATTAATTTTGCTAACGAGTGTCCAATTTACAAGTATTTAATTTCCTGACCACCGTTCAAAAATTAATCATTGATAATCAATTGGGTTGTTTATTTTCTAACAGTGATCGAAAAATTAAACAATTGTAAATTGGACACTCATTATCAAAATTAATCAGTCAGCTTTAAACTAGACACAAGTACAAATTAGATGATTCTGGGCGATTTTAAACGTTTTTTACGAATTTTTAAACAAAGATTTGATATTAAATGAATGTGAAAGAAATTAGTGCTAAATACACAAGATTAAACGATATCTAGATTACAGTGTTAGTTTTAATATGGTAAAGTATTACTGCGTAAGATTCTGTAAAATAATGCCGATGCGGATGTAAATGTCAAAAATCCAGTGATAAAAGTTGTCTGTTGAAAACCACACCAAGTCTGATTTATAGGACAACGAGGTTCGGCAATTTGGGCTCAAGATAATAGTCGGATCGGTAACAGTTAGGCAGCACCAACTTGATTTTATGTTCTCCAGGGTCGGGATAAAATTATAAACACTTAACTCATGTGAAAGATGTTTTGTTTGAAATTTTACAACTTGAAAATTAATTAATTTGGATCTAAAAGCTATTGAACAATACAATCAATTAGTTTTGTTTTTTAAATAAGTTTTTCCCACCAAGAAATTTTCTATGTTTTCTCGAAGAACAGAAAAAGAAATTGGTGTGGCTGAAAAGCAGATTTTTATTTTGGCCTAATGATGATCTATAAGGTGAAATTGTTCCATCACAGATAAATCAGTTTTAGAAGAAACAAATGATTAGAAACTTCCCAATGACCAGACATTTCCTGATTGAAAAAAGTTCACTGAGAAAAAAAAACAAACCTTCATTAGTCCATGTATCAATAAATTAGACAATTATTTGCGTTCGATTGTTGTAGATTTCTTTTGTAGGCGAACCCTTAATGACCTTTTCAATCTGTCTGTATCAGTTACTGCAACCTTTTACAAACATTAGGTAATTCCGCATGGACATTAAACATACATTATGCAAGAGCTAAATCTGCCTATGGAGGTCTTTCTTTAGGCCTGAAATGTTATATAAATTATTAATTAGACATTTATTAACTTATCCAGACCATAATCAACTCTCCATGGCATCGCTAGCCTGCAATGTTTATTGGATTAGGTTCCGATTTTCTATTTGACTTCCATTCATAATTTAATCATTCAATGGATAATCAAGACTATGTTTTTTATCCTACAGACTTTAGTAATGATGATCGAGGCTAGGCCGAAAATTCAATTGCTAAAATCTCGGTTCACAGTGGATCAAATTGACTGAAATGTTCAGCAAATTCCCTTTACATTATCTAGTTTTCAACTATTATAGTGAGAACTGCTAGCTCTTTATCTAATCTCCCATAATGCATCTTTAACATCTAATGAAGGAGATAGACTAAGAGAGCCATTCTGCACAGTGAGATACTTCGAGAATAAATCTCTGTCCTGAATGGCCGCCATATCCAAAAAATAGTATACTGTTTTGTAATGCGGTTCTACCACATTTCACATCTGGCATACACACACAGACTAAATAAACCTATTCAATTCCATTAAATGGAAGCAGAATAAATACTTCTCAAAATTCTTGAAGTATACTTAGTGTTTTCGAATAAAATCATCGATTTGCGACTTAAAATGTTGGTTAACTAGCTTAGTGCCTATTCTCAAGCGGAGCTACAATGTAACTGTAGACAGACAGCCTTAGTTTAGTATGGAAGAGAGAGAGAAATGGGGTTTAACGTCCACTAGACACAAAATAGGTCATTTCGGGACTAACATATGGTTTAATTTTATTTCAATAATTCGCTTGCGCATAGGGATCTTTAGCAGTGGGAGGAAATCAGAGGACCCGGAGAAAACCCACGAGGTTGGATCGTATGTAAGAGAGTGTGTATGAGAGGTTATTAGCTGAAGCATGTTTGTCGAACAATAATAATGTATCAATAGTTTATGAAGTATAATTCTCTGACTTGCTCAAATAAAACAAGATAGTTTGATCAATAAACACACTTTTCTAGTCACGTTAGTTTGTGAAAGTCATGCTGTTTCTAGATTATCATCTGAGCTGCGTGGTGTTTTTTTTACACAGGTAGAATGAAGGATTCTTAATGTATATCTAATGGCTATTTTCTGGCACATTAGTCAACAATAATTAGTCGTGGTATCTATGTATATATAGATATATTTACATGTTTTAAAAAATGAAGTATGTGAGGTTTAGATAAAGAGCTGGGCCTTTATTCACGAAAACTTAAACTAAGATACAATCGATATATGCAAATTGATTTCACTGGTCAGCCAATTGAATTGCAGTATTTCTTAAAATTTCGATTGTATCTTAGTTTAAGTTTTCGTGAATAAGGGCCCCGTTCGTTATTTTTATAATACATGTAGTTCAAAAATAAATAATATTGATACATTAACATATTTTGAAAAAAGAAAAGGAGACAATTAAAGATACAGTGTATAAAATTTAGATAATGAATATCTATTTTTGAACTACATGTATTAACCCTTAACCGGTCATTGTAGACTGTAGTCCCCACAACGTTATACAGCCAAGTGGTCACTTTAGTCTTTCTTTAGCCTGACCACTTGACGTCATGACGGCAAAATGACGTCGACCAGTTGAGGGTTAATCTGTTATCATAATGTATATATACAAGGTTTAACTTCTTAAAAAGAGGCTCATCAAAAGATTTTAGCGAAGATTATAGTTAGCGCTAGCTTGTTATGACCATATTCTATCCATATCGTTCGCAGAGGATGTCAAAAGTTCACAAATTTTCTGTTCATTATATCTTTGTAAATACTGAACGGAATTCAACCATTTTTGGACTCATATTCCCTTAAGTGATTCAAATTTTCAGAATAAAAAGAGATCTATGAAAGATTTTACACTGTCTGTAGAGAATTATGAACGTTGAGAAATTTTCAGTTCATCATATCTTTGGAAATACTAAACGAAATTGAACCATTTTTGAATCAATATTTTTTTTAAACATCAAACTTTGACAATATTGTATTTGTTAGGGATTCAATTAGAGACTTTAAGAATTGATATTTCTTTTAAACATCCAGCTTTGACAATATTGAAGTTTGTTAGGGATTCAATTAGAGACTTTAAGAATAACGATGTGTTTATATTTTGATATTTCAGGTTAACTGGTATATTACCGTCATATTTACATACTGGTCCACCAGTTTTATTACATCCCGAAAGAGTTATACCATATTCAGAATCAGAAAGGTATGTTATTATGTTTAATATGCTTTTAGAAGGGTTGAGTGGCCTGGTGTGTGCGTTTTATGTCTGTTGGTGGGATTTTAATTCCCTGCTTGTACGTGTCAAGGAGTAGAGTTGACCTCATAGCACACTGTATGGCGTATTAAATGTTCCCTCATAGCACACGGTATGGCCAAGGGCGTGGATTTGTCATAACTTTTGGGGGGGACAGACGAACTCTGGAACCCGGAACATTTCATTACCAAACGAAATAAATAATTACGAACAGTTTACTGTACCAGTGTTATTTCAATGAAGGCTGTAACTAGGGGTAATATGATGATAATATGGAAAAATTGACTACCTACAATCAAAGCTGCATAAATATTAATTGTTCATGAAGTTAAGTGAATCGTCCAAAGACGTTCGTTCTACGATCAGGATTGTTCTCTTTGAATATCTTGGTGACATGAAGGGCGTCATTATGCACCTCACACGCCATCAAGTGGTCCAGTCGGGTTTGCGTCATGGAGTTGCACAGCCAAGTTTTGATACGCTGAAGGATCGCTCGGCTGAGCAGGAACTAGCAGGGTTCAGCGGTGTGAGATGAGAAGAGCTTCGACAGAAGGGAACATCTGCCTCACTTCAGGGGAAATAATGAATATCTTCGTGCTTGAAGAATGGCAATTCTTGTTCCAAGTCCCGATTCAGTTCCAGATACGTAGAAACAAGCTCACCATCATGTGAATATAAACCTGAAAATCTGTCCTGGCGATCAAAATCATTGGGGGAGAGAACAGAGACCTATTCGTCCCTCCCCCTTCTGATTCTTAGGAGGGGACATGTCCCCCCACATCCCCCCTAAATCCACGCCCATGTGTATGGCATATTAAAAGTTCCTCATAGCACACTGTATGGCGTATTAAAAGTTCCCTATAGCACACTGTATGGCGTATTAAAAGTTCCCTATAGCACACTGTATGGCATATTACAGTCTTCATTAGGCCACTCTGTGCAGACAAGGACATGTAGGAAGTCAGACCATATTTCACACTATTGCACAGTTACTTGTTATTCCTACCCACTGTGTCAAAATGACCTGGACAATAAAAAAACAGAAGCGAGAATTGTTATCCAGGTCGCAGACTTTATGCATAATGCGTTTATAATTGATGTCATATAAAGTTCATCTGATAACAATATTATTACATAATAGTCCTTGACCTTCATCAACTTAAATATGTAAATATAGATTGAGAAATGGGGTTTAACTTCCCCTTGACACAAACTAGGTCATTTCGGGACTAACATATGGTTCAATTTTATTTCAATAATTTGCTTGCACGTAGGAGTCTTCAGTAATGAGAGGAAACCTAAGGTCTCAATGTCAGACCTTATGATACAATGAGCATGCACTAACCACTTGACTCCACCTGACTCAACTACAGAGAGAGAGAGAGAAATGGAGTTTAATGTCTACTTGACACAAACTAGATCATTTCGAGACTAACATAAAAGGAGCATGCACTAACCATCCGGCCATGTAAATATAAGTTATTAATAGACCTAGATACAGTTTATGACATTAACAGATAGAAAATGACTTTTGTAATACTGCAATATTCTCAATTCCTTACACATCGTCTTCATTCTCACTTTCCTATCCGAAGCTGTCTGGGCGGAAAGCAGAACAGTTTAAATGAGTTATCAGAATATTTGGGTTCGGTTATCGTTAATAAATTCAGTCAAGCCTCCTTGATTGATCATATCTCATCTCTTAACCGAGAAAGTTCCCCAGGATTTTCCAGCGTGGCATTCCTTTGTCAGTGGTGAAGGACGTAAGATCTGACAAGAACAGCATCTAGTTTTTGAGATGGGACAAAAAAACGAAGTCCCATGTATACATTGGCATGCACATACAAGAAACATTTCGAGATAAGAGCAGGCCAAAGTGTTGTTGTTCAGGAAAAATTTTCCTCTCGGCATACTGTATGACCTATGCATGTCTTCATTAGCCCAGTCGGTGCAGAACGGTAGGAAGTTAAACCCCATTTCCATAATTAATGGTCTTGCCTTCAGAGAATTTCTTGAAGATGTTCTCAGTTGAAAGGTCTTATGCTAGGTTTCCACTATCACGATTCATGCTGCAATTGAACTCGTGGTTTTATTCACAGAGTAATCGTGGTAATCCTATTAGGTCTTAGCATATATTGAGGTCAATCGTAGCAATCGTTTTGATCGTATCGAAACCTATTCGAACATATCTTCACATACCATATCTTGGACTCAGTAGGGAAAATCCTATCGTAACGCATGGCAGTGGGAACCTGGCAAAATATGCATGTGAGGGGTTGGGTGACTGAAAGGTCAAACAACGACCCATCAACCCTATTTAGTTAAAGATACATTATGGAAGATTAGATAAAGAGCTGACAGTTCTCACTATAATAGTTAAAAACTAGATAATGTAAAGGGAATTTGCTAAAAATTTCAGTCAAATTGATCCACTCTTAACAGAGATTTTAGCTATGGAATGTTCGGCCTATCCTCGATCATCATTACTAAAGTCGATATGATAAAAAACATAGTCTCGATTAATCATTTCATGATTAAATTATGAATGGAAGTCGAACAGCAAACCGGAACCTAATCCAATAAACATTGCAGGCTAGCGATGACATCGAGAGTTGATTATGGTCTGGATAAGTTAATTAATGTCTAATTAATAATTTAGATAACATTTCAGGCCTAAAGAAAGACCTGCAATAGGCAGATTTACCTCTTGCATAATGTATGTTTAATATATTTTTGCTGGTCCTGATTTCTCAATATACTGTGTGTATATACATGTAATAAGTATGTAATATAATCCATTTCAAATTGTCAAGTGATAGAAACATTCCTTTCCTAGCCTACAAGCTACATTGTATACTATAAGTAGTTTTCATTACTTTCCTAGCCTTCTACAAGCTATACTACTATAAGTAGTTTTCTAGTTTATCGTGTCATATGATAACATTAACAGATTGCATATATATATATATATATTCATTACAAACTACGTTCTTTTTTTAGTAAGCTCATTACTGAGGGTTGCACTTACTGACATCAAGTTTAGAATTGGATGTTGCTTGTTTTTTCTAGCAGGAAAGAAAAACAGGAGAAAGACTTCACCATTAATATAGACATGAATTATTATTGTACATAAAGTAGATGTTATTCATGGACAACACTTTAATCATATGATTTACAACAAGCATGTTCATAAACATCTCAAAGTCATATGGGAGAGAGGGGGTTGGATGGCCGAATGGTTAGTGTGTGCGTTTTGAATCATAAGGTCTGTCATTGAGCCAATTGGCGTGGTTTCGATTCCTTGGTTGTACGTGACAAGGAGTCCAACCTTGTGGGTTTTCTCCGGGTCATCCAGTTTCCTCACAGTACTAAAAAACCCTACATGCAAGCAAATTATTGAAATAAAATTGAAACATATATTAGTCCCGAATTGACCTAGTTTGTGTCAAGTGGACATTAAACCCCATCTCTCTCTCTCTCTCTCTCTCACTCTGATTGCTGAGGTAACAAATTTTTTGTTTACTCTTGTTTACTTTATTTATACGTTAAATGAATTAAAATCTCAAGCTTGGTACTAGTATACGTAAATCGACGCTGTATTGCCTACGTAAAGATACAAGTGTTTGACAAGAAAACAGAAATTAAGAAAATTGGCTTGCTACGTTATATGTATTGGCCAATAACTTTCTGATGGAATAACCATCTAAACATCTTCTTGTTTTTAAGACAACATTGCTTTCACAGTGACGGATTTGTTTGGTTATACACTTGGCAGCAGTCGTATTGAAAACAGTACTTTATGTTACCACATTAAAAAGAAAATGAGATGTTGAAACGAAAAACATACATACATGTACACACAAAAATAATATGCACCAGTAACAGACATTTTCTAAATATATTCTTTCGGTAAAACCTGTCGTGGGCCGTTAACCCCACCCACAATTTTCATTTCATATCGGTCAAAGTATTGTGTGATGACAATCTAGGTTGAGAGATGAAGTTGTCAGAATGCATTATATGATACATTGATGCTGCCTGGGCAAAATTTCCATCATAGCACCCTGTATGGTGTATGCTTGTCTTCCTATGCCCGGTGTAGAAAAATCAGACCTTAAAACCCCATTTCATATTGGTCAAAGTATTGTCGGATAAGAATCTAGGTTTAGAGATGAAGTTGACAGAATGCATTATATGATACATTGATGCTGCCTGGGCAAAATTTCCATCATAGCACCCTGTATGGTGTATGCTTGTCTTCCTATGCCCGGTGTAGAAAAATCAGACCTTAAAACCCCATTTCATATTGGTCAAAGTATTGTCGGATAAGAATCTAGGTTTAGAGATGAAGTTGACAGAATGCATTATATGATATATTGATGCTGCCAGGGCAAAATTTCCCTCATAGCACCCTGTATGGTGTATGCCCGTCGTCGTAAGCTTGGTGTAGTCAAGTAAGACCTTAAACCCCATCTCATATCAGTCAAAGTACTCTGTGATATCAATCTAGGTGGTTTAGAAATGAAGTTGTCAGAATGCATTATATGACGTAACTTGGATATATTGATGCTGTCGGGGCAAAAAGTCTCCCACAGCACACTGCATGATATATGGCTGTCTTCCTAAGCTCAGTACATGTAGGTGCAGTACAGTTAAATCCCATTTCATTTCATTTCTTGGTAAAAAAAAACAAACGGACTAAACCACATTATTAGCCACATGCACTAAGAAAACGTGGCAAAGATTTGATTTTTATTTGCCTGAAGGCTTGTAAAAGTTGTGGCATGTTGATGTGGATAATTTTGAAGGATGTTATAAATCATAGGGATTAGTGTTTGTGATGTTCCTCCTGTTCCGACAGCGACACCTATATCAAGATGGCATTTGAAACAACATGGCCTCTGCTTTGCTTGATCGCCTTGAGTCAATTAGACTTCTTTACATCTGTCTAAAGCAGGTGTCTATATAATAATCTAGAGACCACTGGCCAGGGTCACGCCATATAACTGAATACTACATAAGGTTACACTCCCCTTTTCGCTATGGTTAACAGTCACAAAGGATTAGGAATCTGGTGTCTCAAAAAGCAGTGACCTAGAGAATTAACAATATAACCTCAGTTGAAGCTGAATAGATTGGTCGTGGAGCATTAGTTACTGTCGCCATTTACATAATGCCTGGTACTTCATTTTACATCAATCTACACCAATCTGTCGTTCCAAAATACCAAAAAATGTGACGTCTTTCAACAATCTTATTAACATAATGGAGCACTTTGACAAGAGGGCTGTTACTTCAAATATTTTTGCCGGTTGGGGACATATTTTATTTTTCGCAGATTAACAAGAAAATTTTCCACACTTACAAGTTTTTAATTTCTCGATCACTGTTAAAAAATAAACAACCCAATTGATTATTGATATATCATGATTAATTTTTGAACAGTGGTCAGGAAATTATGATAAAAACATCATAAAAACATGTATCTTTGACCGAATTTAAAAATTATTTTTGTTTGGTTTGATTATTTTATCGTTTTAATTGATAGTTAGCAACTATCGATTCCCTGGTTGTACATGACAAAAAATAGGGTTGCTTGTCTAGGTCCTGCGGTTTCCTCCCACTGTTAAAGACCCATTACGGTCAACCGAATTATTGAAATAAAATTGAACCTAGTTTGTGTCGAGTGGATGTTAAAACCCATTTCTCTCTCTCTTTCTCGAGCCAGTATAAATGTACATATTGTTGTTATTTTCAGCCTACCATGGCACCTGAATTTCAATTCCTAATAGAAAATGTTGTTTATTTGTAACGATTTTTTGATGTTTGTCTATTTAAAGGTATGAAAGACATTTTACACCGAATGTCTCATTAGCACCTCCTGTATCAAAACCAGATAAATCAGATGACGAAACCGAAGGCAGTCCTAAAAGTAGCCAAGCAGGCAAGAGTGAAACATGTAAAGTATCGGCTAGTCTCAGTAAATCGGATTACCACGAGTACGATCTTCCTACAGATACTGATGATTCTTCATTGGAACAATCTTCACCATCAGATGGTAAGTTTTCTTTAATTATCTAAATTGATTCCTTTAGCCCTTCACCACCACCTACTACTGCTCTGTCTAGAGTCGCCCACTCCCTTTCCTGCCCTCTTTATTGGCACAATCTTCACCATCAGATGGTAAGCTTTCTTTAATTATCTAAATTGATTCCTTTAGCCCTTCAACACCACCTACTGCTGCTCTGTCTAGAGTCGCCCACTCCCCTCCCTACCATCTTCTTTGGAACATCAGATGGTAAGCTTCCCTAAATCTTTCCCTAATGATGAATTAATCCCCTCTTCCCTCCCTCTTTAATATTTCTCTAATGAATTAACCCCTTGAGGACCTCCTACTTCTTCTCCCTCTGGAGCCCCCCCCCCCCACACACACACACCCCTCTTGATTGGAGCAATCTTAGCCATGAGATGGTAACCCTTCCTTAATCTTTAACCTAAATTAACTCCTCCGGAACCTCCTTACTACTGCTCTCTTTTCATCTTTTCTGTTTATATTATCTTAAACTCCATTTCATTTCTTTTCTGTTTGTAGGCTGTTAAAAACTCCATTTCAATTATTTACCGTTATAATTTTATTACAGTTGGCGATGAAGTCTCATTTCCTGATATTCCCCCGTTTGAAAGTACTCTGGAAGCAGAAATCGAAATGATACGAAGAGTCTTGGATGGAAAAATACCCAACACCAAAGAAGCTAAAGATAATTTCCTCCATGAATATTCCAAGCTACGTGTTCCACAAGAAGAATTACTCAACACCATCAATCAAGCTAAACAAACTTTAACAAAGGTAATTCAAACTCTTTTTAATTTCATAAGGTCTGTCATTGGGTCAACTGGCCTGGTTTCGACTCCCTAGTTGTACACGCTGCATCATAAGGTCTGTCATTGAGTCAACTGCCATGGTCTTGATTCCCCAGTTGTACGGGACAAGGAGTAGGGTTGCCTGTCCAACCTCGTAGGTTTTCTCTGGGTCCTCCTGTTTGCTCCCACTGCTAAAGACCCCTACGCGCAAGTGAATTATTGAAATGAAATTGAACCATATGTTAGTCATGAAATGACCTAGTTTGTGTTGAGTGGATGTTAAACCCTCCCTTCCTCTCCCTCCCTCTCTCTCTCTCTCTCTCTCTCTCTTTTGTAGCAAATTTTATCTTCTTTCACTTTTTAATGAATCAAACTAGGAAAGATTGACTTTAGTTCTGCAATCATTTTGTAACCCTCCAATATGCGTTGGCACATCTGAATCCGCATGTGAACAAATTGATGCATGGTTGGCTACCCCTGATCTACATGTAATGTAAACAAACAACCCAGCCTACTCACAGAGTTTTATCTTTATTTGTTTGTTAAAGATAGTATTTACCGTAAAAACTTTTAACAGTTCCCAGTTTAATGTCATTTAAATGCAGTTTTGTGTCGGTTTTATTGGTGAGTTTTGGCCATTAAGAAACGACTGACCAATCCTCAGCTCAATCATCATTGGCTCTTTAAATTTAATGAGGTAGAAAAAAAGGGCGATGAACTCATAAAATTAAGGAGAAGATTTCGGTTATTTATGAAAACATGTGGCAAGATAGTTAATATGTTTGTGTTGGATATACATTAAACCGATCATGAAATTTTTAAAGACTTTGTATACACACATTTAATGTGGTCTTATATTGTGGATCGCCCCCTGCTGACGGTCATGGCTAACGTTTTCATCCGATTACCTTTATACTTAAACACGTTGTATCTGTTCATGAGACGAAACACGTGGATTAAATTACAATTACTTCCATATTTGCATGATTACAGGTGGGTTGGATGGCCGATTGGTTAGTGTGTGCGCATAGTATCATAAGGTCTGTCATTAAGTCAACAGGCGTGGTTTCGATTCTCCGGTTGTACATGAAAAGTGGTAGAGTCGCCCGTCCAACCTCATGGGTTTTCACCGGTTTTCTCCCACTGCTAAAGACACCTACGCGCACGCAAATTATAAGAATAAAAATTGAACCATATGTTAGTCCTAAAATAACCTAGTTTGTGTCGAGTGGACATTACTCTCTTTCTCGCTCTCTCTCTCTCTCTCCCTCTCTCTGTATGATTAGGATTACTTTAGCGATGTGATCGATTAAATTACTGATTACATCTGATTACTTGTAAATTTGTAATCGATTACAGCTGATTCCTGATTATGATTACCCCATATCTGTGAGACGGAGAAGCCTATTCAAAATCTTGTGAACCCTCTAGTGACTAATTAAACCGATTCATTTATTTGATGCACATTGTTTATGTGCATGAGACAAAGAAGCCACTTGATTTTGTATAATAAATGTTGGCACTAAAAAGAACAAGAAGCCAAGAAAATTTTTATACTTCATCAGTTTTTAGTGCCTTGTGAATGCTCCCATTACCTACGAAAAACAGAGGTCCTGTGTATACATTGGTGTGCACGTAAAAGATCCTTCGGCAGTTGGAATTCGATATAAGAGTGCCACTGGCCTGGCAAAATTTCCCTCATTAGCCCAGAGCAGAACAGTAGGACGTTGAACCCCATTTCATTTCATTTCACCTACACAAAATTAAATAATCAACAACTTTTATGGATAGATATCTCAGGCAGTCTTAAATTACCTGGTAGAACCTGCCTTCGTCATTAGAATTAAGATATTTCGAAAGCCATAAAAAATGGTAAAAAAAAAACAAGGTAATAAAAAAAATACATAAAAATGAAAGATGGTTTTGTAAATTCATTCCCCATAAAAGTATATTACTTAAGACAATTACAGTAATCCCATTTCAATTGTCTTTTAATTTAACATTTATGAAAAAATATTGAATAACACAATTTCAAATGTAAAATTACAAAGGTTAAGCCAGCCTCATTTTTAATTCATGCGTATTATTGCTCGACCAGTAGTTTTTATCCTGCTACAATGGGCTGTTCAAATCATCTTTTTCTAAAAGGTTCGCTCAATTATTCAGGATTGGATTCACTTTTTTCTTCCAAGTGAACAAACAGTGCAGAACTAATTAAGTTTTAATGAAAAATCTGTAATTATATGTTACGTTTCAAAAGGTGTAACTCTCTGAAAAAATCAATACACTATTGACATTTGCTGAGCGGTTTATTTTTTTATTTTGATAATTGCAGGGAAGTTATTAAATGTCGTTTTTATGCCCTATTAATCTTTGAACAATCTGTCAATAGTGACATTTGTTCGTTTTTTTTGTGTTTTTTTTTCCGTATGAATGGTTTTTGCGTACTCTTCTTGTAGCTAGCAATATGGGACTCCTTTGATGGTTTGTTTTGTCTCTAGGCATTGTACAAAAAACAATAGTTATAAGTTAAAACAATAATGAAATTTATTCTGGATTTTGTTATCCAGTTAACTCATGGACAGCGAGAAACTACTTGTAATTAATGCTCCTCAGTCTGCACGAGTCACACAGTGTCCTAAACAACTAGTAGGTCCTACACTGTCCGGGTCATTTACGTAACTCTGACAGGTTTGTTCGTTCCTGGAGGGGGATCACGTGGCTAAGTGGGTAAGATGCTGGCTCGCTAGTCTGGAGGTCGGGTGTTCGACCCCTGCATTGGCCGAGAAAGTTCATCAAGATTTTCCGGTGTGGTTTCCCCTTGTCAGTGATGCAGGACGGAGGGCTCGACAAGGACAGCTGTCTAGTCTTTCGGATGGGACGAAAAACCGAGGTCCCGTGTACATATTAGCGTACACGTAAAAGATCCCTTGGCAGTTGGAATTCGATATAAGAGTAGGCCGTAGCGCTGCTGCCCGGGCAAAATTTCTCTCATAGCACACTGTATGGCGTATGCCCGTCTTCATTAGCCCAGTTTAGGAGCAGAACAGTAGGATGTTAAACCCAATTTCATTTTATTTCATTTCGTTCCTGGAGTTTTACGTCCTCTTCCACCAAGGGTAATATCGTAGACATGCTCTTACAGGTCAATCTGCCGGCCATCAAAAAAGACTTTTGAATATTTTAGTCATATTTTAACTTAAAAAACACTATAAACACACTTAAACTTTAAATTTTATGTGTAAAAATACTTAAGGATACATTATATAAGATTTAGATAACGAGCTGTCCATTCTTGCTATAATAGTTCAAAAATAGATAATGCCACATGAATATATTGAAAATTTCATTTAAATTCTGAGCCATGTTTATCACTGTTTGTAGTTTTGATATAATGTGTGCATTGATTGTTCATTATAGTAACCTCGGTACTGGTATATTTGAGACTTAGGCTCACACCTCCATGTATGAATTAAATCATTAAATGGCCAAACTGTTCTAATCTAGTTAAAATATTGGGAATCCAATGGCATCAAGAGTTGATTATGATCTGGTCGTGTTAATAACTGTCTAATTAATAATGTGTGTAACCTTTCAGGCCCAAAGAAAGACCTACAATAGACAAATTTAGCTCTTGCATAATATATGTGTAAACAAATTAGGTAGTCAGTATTTCCTAAGTGCTAAAGAGTTGATAAAGTAAAATTAACTGATGGATTCTGATGATTCAAAAAACAAAAATGAAGTCTGATGATTCAAAAACTAGGAATGGAGTCTGATATTCAAAAAACAAAAATGGTGTCAGATATTCAAAAAAACAAAAATGTAGTCAGATATTCAAAAAACAAAAATGGAGTCAGATATTCAAAAAACAAAAATGATATTCAAAAAACAAAAATGGAGTCAGATATTCAAAAATGGAGTTGGATATTCAAACAATAATGTCATATAATGCAAAAAAAATAAAATGGTAACATGTACCATGTCGAAAGACGATTAATTTGAAATATTTGTTTATTTATAGTTTATTTTTTTACCCGTTACAGGAATTAACTTCTCACAAGAATCGTTTACGCGAAGAACTGGAGAAGAAAAAGTCCCTTCACAAAGAAAACAACCGTATTCGTATCGAAAGTGAATGTAGGTTACAAGAGGCAGCAGAAGAAAAAGAAAGACTTCTAGCAGAAGTCAGAAGAATGAAAGAACGGGAAGAATCCGGGGTAAATATAATAGATTTATATTTTTTAAATCTTACGTTATATTTTGCGATCATGTGGACGGCCTGAAAATGCGAGTGGGGTACCTATTGTAGTGAGTTTCTAACCGATAGTGAGGTTGGGTGACCAAATAGTTTAACTAGTTTTGTCATTGAGTCAAGTGGGGTGATTTCAATTCGCAGTTTGTATGTGACCAGGTGTAGGGTCGCCTGTCCAACCTCGAAGGGTTTCTCTAGGTTTCCTCCCTCTGCTTAAGACCCTTATGATCTAGTAAATTATCGAAATAGAACTGAACATTGGCGTGCACATAAAAGATCACTTGGCAGTTGGCATTCGATATAAGAGTAGGCCGTAGCGCCGCTTTCTGGGCAAAATTTCCCTCATAACACACTGTTCGGAGCAGAACAGTAGGGCGTTTAACCTTATTTCATTTCACATAATTTTAGAAACAATACACAAGAATTGAATCCTATTTTATTTTTACAATACAGACGAAACTAGTCTCTCACATCCCAGATAACCAGGTCCTAAAATAGCCACTCATATCTCATATATTCCCTATTATACTTTTGCCCATATGTAACGATATGATGTATATCGCATTGGAATTGGAGAACCATAATCAAATTATAACGACTGAAGAGAGAAATTTAGCGGGATGGCAGGAAACAGACATGTTCTAAACATATTACAAATGTAAAAAAATAAAAGCTATTTATCCGAAGGGAATCGTGGAGGTGGAACGACGGCTTTGTATAGCCGACAGAATTAAGTTTGTATTTACTCAAATTATTAGAAACTACTGGTGGCCGACATAAAGACGTAATGAAGCATTGATTTGTATTTAGCAGACGTGTTAAAAACTCGACATGCGGCTGTGATGATCAACAATATTCACATACCGGATCTTCCCATGGAGAAATGTCCGGTAAATTATGCAGCAAGATTTGAAATATGAAATTGATTTTCGATAAATTCAGATTATAAAGTTTAATAACTTTTGAAAAGTCGCAGAAATTGTGACTTTATGACTGTAGCAATTGATTTAGAACGGTCGGCCATGAATATGCCATACCATAAGCCCTGCAGGATACTGATTCTATTAATATTATCTTGAGTGTAAATACGATGATTTGTGGTGATTTGATATACGGGGTAACTATTTATCATGATTTCGCCTTGAGCTATGTGTTGATTGTAGTGGTCATTCGGCTATAGCATGAATAGAAAGGACATGACTTCAGGTGGTAATAAGTTGAACAGTTTATAGATATCTATGTTGGCTGTCTGGTGTTAACTTTATTATCAACTGTATTACAATTATTATATCATAAGTTATATAAGTAACAATTAGATACTAGTTATCTGAAATTTCTTAAAATTCGAGATAAATTGTTATCTTTTGTATATTAAGGACAGGTGATATGTATTTAAACAGTTTTAGACTAGTTTATAGATACAGATGTTGCTTGTCTGTTATTAATTGTATTATAAACATGCTACCATTATTATATCATCACTAGTTACATACCTGGTTGAATGGTTAGCACACGCGTGCTGTATCATAAAGCCTGTTATTGAGTCAACTGGCGTGGTTTCGAATCCCCGGTTGTACGTGACAAGGAGTAGGGTCGCTTTTCCAACCTCATGGGTTTTCTCCGGGTCCTCCGGTTTCCTCCCACTGCTAAAGACCCCTACGCGCAAGCGAAATATTAAAATAAAATTGAACCATGTTAGTCCCAAAATGACCTTGTTTGTGTCAAGTGTACGTTAAACCCATTTCTCTCTCTATTCTCTTATTGGTATGTTATCAATGAAATGTTTTGGGGTGAAAGAGCCAATCAATAACACACAGAAAAAAAACGTTGGATGATGGCAGTCACAAGAACTTGGCAAAAACAAAAAAATATCTACTTTCTAGAATTAGCAGGTTATTTGAAGAGGATTGATCGCATTTTTCATGTAAGGTTATTCTGGAAGATTAATTAATAAAATCAAGTTGTGTGTAGAGGGCAACCATGGTCCGTCTGACAATGTGGCTTTCATTAGACTTAATCTAATGTCTGAGAAAAAAAATCTTGGCTGATTAGTTCAGAAATGTTGAGTTATGTTATACACCAGGAGCAGAAGTCAAGCAGAAGATTTCTGTTGTGGTTCTCACCTTCCTTGTTAGGGGTCAATCATTTCATTAGATGAAGGGATCAATCATTTCATTAGATGAAGGGATCAATCATTTCATTAGATGTAGGGGGAGGTTGGATGGTCGAATGGTTAGCGCGTGCACACTTTATTATAAGGTCTGTCATTGAGTCAACTGCCGTGGTTTTGATTCTCTGGTTGTACATGACAAAGAGTAAGGTCACCTGTCCAACCTCGTGGGTTTTCTCCGGGTTCTCCAGTTTCCTCCCACTGCTGAAGACCCCTACGCGCAAGCAAATTATTGAAATAAAATTGAACCATATGTTAGTCCGGAGATGACTTAGTTTGTGCCAAGTGGATGTTAAATCCCATCTCTCTCTCTCTCTCTCTCTCTCTCTCTCTCTCTCTTTTCCCCCCGCTTGCCTTGTCTTACAGGCCTTGTCTAATAGGTCGTTCAGACACTTATGTTTAAGCTTAGAATTAGGCATGGCCACACTCGTCATTTTGCTAGGAAGATAACGAACTGTGCAGCCAAAAGCCAACTGAAGCCAGCGATTTTAAGCCAACCCATTACAAGAGTCAACAACCAAAATAAGTCGGCTCTTACGAAAAGCCTTTAGTGAGCTAGAATTTTTTTTCCATCTTGGCGTTTAGACATAAAAATTAAACTATTTTAACGATCCCAGCGTTTTTTTTTAACTAGGTTAATTGTACGTCTGAACGGGATATAGTCTAACCTACATGACATCATTTAAAACCATGGTGAATCAACGTCCAAAACATGCATTAGTTTATTATGGGTGCATTAATAGTTCACACCCTTTAAGTGGTGTTTAGTAATTGTTGCATATGACATGAATTACATAAACTGTCATTTCAGTTTACAATAAACACTCTCTTGACCTTCACCCTGTCCTCATTGTTCATTTACACACAGCAGACATGAGGACCCCACAAAACGTATTTACAAAATTCTGTCCTTCAGCCGTCAAGACCTGGACGGTTGCCAATAATGTCTTAAAATTTCACCATTTTCCACTTATTTTTGTCCAAATTAATGAGCTGTTTGCGCTGCGGTGATCACAGGCAGACGTTACCCGTTTACTTACACGGTGCCACCAGATAAGAAGCAGACCCCACGGTATATACATTGTAAATTAATGTTTTCTTTAAAACCGTGATTAATTAGTGGTCATTAATTAGATTTTGTTTGGTGTAAACACTCAATTTGCTGGAAGATAAAACAAATTTCGGCCATTTTTTTCCCCCAAAATAAGATAAACATATCTGTGAGTTATTAATGAAGAATGGGCTAAAAAGAAGTTAAACATGAAATTTCCATATTGGTCTGGTTTTCAATGTCTTTTGAAGATTATTTTCGGTTTATAAGTTTTTCACTATTGGTATAATGACCTGACAAATGTCATTGGCCACAGCTTCACCCAGACCATCCATTTTGTTTTCTATGAAGAATGTGTTGCCAGTTTTGAATGAGAAAGGGGACTCAGTAGTAGTCTGTGGTGGTCGTTTGCGTCTTCATTAGCCCTGTAGGAGTAGAACAGTAAAACATTAAACACTATTTCATTTCAGTTTTCATTAGTCACATAGGTACATTTGTGTGGTTGCATATCACAACACATTTGAAAATTACTCTATATGGAAAGAGAGAGAGAGAGAGAAATGGGGCTTAACTTACACTCCACACAAACTAAGTCATTTGGGACTAAGATATGGTTTAATTTTATTTCAATAATTTGCTTGCGCGCAGTTGTCTTTAGCAGTGGGAGGAAACTGGAGGACCCGGAGAAAACCCATGAGGTTGGATATGCGACCCTTGTCATGTACAACCGGGGATCCAAAACCACGCCAGTTGATTCATTGACAGGCCTTATGATACAGCATGCACGTGCTAACCATTCAGCCATCCAACCCCCTCACCCCTATATGGAAAGAGATATGAAAACTAGATGGCATTGGACAGGCGAAACTATTCATTCTATGTGAGATCTGCTCCCACCATTCATTTCGGGATGGGTAGGGGGTGGTGGACATCAGCCTCACTGTTGACTTTTTTTTTAGAGATCTGCTTGCACCATTCATTTCTGAAGGGGGTTGGGGGGAGGTGGCTGCACATCTGACTCCCTGTTGGTTTCCTTTTGAGATTAACTCTCTCCATTCATTTCTGGAAGGGTGGGGGGGAGGGACATCATCCTCTCTGTTGGCTTGTTTTTGAGATCTGCTCTCACCATTCATACTGTTAAACACAATCATTCACAATGGCGTAATGAAATTAAAGTTCTCATGAGTATCGGATGAAGTTTATTTATAGATAACTCTTATAAACTCGTGTAGAAACATCTCTCAAGAACATGCTGCCACCAATTGAATACAGATGTGCTTTTAGAATATCTGGGCATACGTCAGAACTTGAACCTCACCCATTTATTCTATGACTATACGTGTCTGCATGTTGTTTACAAAATGTGTTTCTGAAGAAAAACGTTATTCTGCTATTTGATCGTTAAAATGACTAATTTGATCAGATGCACATATTAAGATCTTGTACATAGTTTTAATTAGGCCTGGTTTTTAGATAATTGAAAATAAAATGAAATGGGGGTTGAACGTCCTACTTTTTTTGCATCGTTTTAATTAGGTCTGTAATTAGGTCTGTAATTAGGTTTGGTTTGGAAATGATTGAAAATTAAATGAAATGGGGGTTTAATGGCCTAATTTTCTGCATCGACTGGGCTAATGAAGATACGCTGCCATATAGTTTGCTAATAAGAACATTTTACCCAGACAGCGCTGACACAGCCTACGCTTGTTTGGCATTCTAACTGTCTAGGGTTCTTATTAAAGTA